TCCAAAACTTGGAATGGATTAATGAATTAATATTATTAATTATTTCAAAAATTATTTTCAATAGTTTATCTTGAATTAAAAAATTCAAAACACATAAAAATCGATACTTAATATTTTGTTTTAATTTTTGACAGCTAAAACATAATTTTAGCGCTTGCCAATTAATTTATATAATTTTTTGAAAAATAGCATGTTATATAGCAAAGTATTACTGCAACACCCAATTATAGATAATAATAGTTTCGCTGTCTGTCTATCTATCTATCTATCTGTCTGACAAGAACGCTCTAGAGAAAAGACAAGCAATTTAAAAACATGCATAGTAATTCGAAAAACGAAGTATGACGTCGACACATTTAGCGCACAGAGTAGAAAATAATCTCACAGTAATATAATGACGTCATTGATTCTGGCGTAAATATTGAATAAAGAGGAAATGTTGTCTAATCTAAGTGGTTTGCGTGAAGAGTTTCTTGCATACAATTCTTCGGGTAGGGGCGAAGCCCCACCCCCCGCGTAAGAACGTCTGAGCCCCTCCCCCTCCCCAACTCAAAAGAAATTTCCTCATCGATACTCTATAATAAAATTACCGCCTAATTAATGTGTCTAATCTAAAAAGTGGTTTTCTTGCAATGGGACGGTAGACATGATTTTTTTTTGGGGGGGGGGGGGGGGGGGGGGGGGGTGGAGGGGTTGGGGGGGGGGGGGAGTGTGTGTGGGGGGGTGGTGTGTGTGGGTGGGGGGGGGGGGGGGTGGGGGGGTGGGTTGGTTTCAGTGTTTCTTTCAGACTTTTTCCTCCCCGGAGAGGGGTGGGGGGTACTTGAAATTTTCGGGGGCGGGGGTAGAATTTTCTGGGAGGGGGCGGACACTGGAAAAAGTATATAATTATATTTCGTTGAATGGGACGGTAGACATGTTTTTTTTTTGGGGGTGGGGGGTGGTGGAGGGGTGGGGGGTGGGGGGGTGGTGTGTGGGGGGTGGGGTGGGGGGTGTGGGGGGGGGTGGGTGGGGTGGGTGGGTTGGTTTCAGTGTTTCTTTCAGACTTTTTCCTCCCCGGAGAGGGGTGGGGGTACTTGAAATTTTTGGGGGCGGGGATAGAATTTTCTGGGAGGGGGCGGACACTGGAAAAAGTATATAATTATATTTCGTTGAATGGGACGGTAGACATGTTTTTTTTTGGGGGGGGGGGGGGGTGGGGGGTGGGGGGCGGTGTGTGGAGGGGGTGGTGTGTGGGGGTGAGGGGTGGGGGTGGTGGGGGGGGTGGGGGTGGGGGTGGTGTGGGGACGGTGTGTGGGGGGGTGGGTTGGTTTTAGTTTAGAGAAAAGAGACAGCACTATCAGCCTAGCGCCCGTTGTACCCTTCCTCAACGGGCCATTTTTCTCGTTAATAAAATAACAAGGGATGGGAACTCGGGCTATAGACATGATTTTTAATCCATTTTAAATACTTAAAGTTTTAAAAATAGAATAAAATCTCGTAGACAAATTAATTGCACACCAAATGAACGCCAAATAAAAAAGCGCATAATAGTGCGCAATATTATTAGTACTTTTAAAATTTGCATTAGTTTTTTGAGAAATCGGAAGTAGCGTAAATTACTACTTCCGGTCAACGGAAATTACTCAAAATTTAACAGAAGGTAGAAAATTAGATCTTTTACTTACATGTGAAATTTCATTTATCTATCTAAAATAGTACTCAAGTTATAGGCTTTTTAAAAATTCAAAGTAGAAAAAGTACCACTTCCGGTAATCGGAAATCGCTCAAAAGTTGATACGGATCTACGATTTTGATAAAATACTTATATATGAAATTTCATCAACCTAGCTGTAACGGTACTCAAGTTATCGTGTTTACACACGGACAGACAGACAGACACACAGACACACAGAGACATACGGACAAGATTGCAACATTATGTTTTTCCGTATCAGTGAGGTGTAAAACGTCGAGATTTGTAAAAATCTCGTTTTTTTTTTTTGCACGATTACAAGACTTTCTCTATACTTCGTATATACGAGAAAGTAAAAATTGGTCGAGTCGAGAAAAAAGGCGAAAGGGAAATAACCCTGCGTAGACGCATAATTATAAAATTTTCAAATAAGTATTTTTAAATGCATTTACAACTGCATAGAGTATCTCTACCAAGATATTAATACATTATTTAATTTAAAAGTGGTCTATTAAGAATTATTTAAATAAAAATATACCACTGGATAGATTCAATCATTTAACTCAAACGTCACAGTAATAGTAAAAAAAAAGAAACTGGCTGAGTAAAAAAAAAAAAATAAACAGCTCAGTACAGTGCAACGTATATAAGTGTTTTTGACTTATTGGAAGCATGTCAGTTAAGAGATAATACTTGGGTGTCGTTAGATAACTGAACATAGCTGGCGCGAAACAAGTAGCAACGTTATCAAGAATCGAGCATTTCACGGAGCTAAGCAGTCAGGCGCTAGACACGAGGGTTTCTCTCCGACTTTGCCTCCAGTTTTAAATACGACATCTTGCCACCTGGTTTTGAACGTGAGGGACAGTTTGGTCGTGGGATGACATACGATCACCAGGCCGGGTACCGAACTATCAGTTTAGTTAGCGGGCGTACTACATACTAGACCACACTGTCCAGTTGTGATAACATCTAACAAAATCTTGGGGATACGGGGTCTGGAAAAACGTCTGGCAACCATGAGGATAAGCTATGGATGGGGGAAGGGAATGTGTGTAAAAAAGAGTGACTTTATTTGTGGACGATGAAGGGCAGATTCAATTCCGTACCACATTTAGAAAAGCAAAAGGTACCCCAAGACTACATAGCTAACTTATCAACCATACTTTACATACTTATAAAACGAAGGAACACGAAAATGCGGTATCGATTAATAGGGTACCTAATTTGTGAGACATTTTGCATAGTCTGCTAAACGGATAAACCTAAAATAAATATGCTAGTTAGAAAGCTTAATAAAAAATGAAGATAATCCCACTAAAAACAGAGTTAGTCTCAATGTTTTACTATTTTAAGTAAATTTTTATATCAGCGTGGGTGTGTATACGCGTGGGAGTGTGTGTAAGCGTGTATGTGTGTGTGTAAGCGTGTGTGCGACAGTCCGGAAAAGGTTTAATAATTACAGTGTATGATTTTCGTTCCTTAAAACTTTACGCCAATTAAATTCCCATTAAGATGCGTTTTCCTTTTACAAAAGATTAGTAATGTCAGAAAAAAAATATGCCTGTTCTGAGTTAGAGGGTGGTTTGTAGCGAGCGCTAATTTTTTAAGACCAGCCTTTTATGTTCTATTTTTGGAATGATCTCTGTTGTGATATGGTACATAGTTGAACTAGAGAAGGGGGAGGCTGGATTACTATGGTTCTATCATCATAAAAATCAATGGGTTGACGAAGTGTTGTCTACGCTAATGCTCCTTAGGAAACCGAAACAAAAAAAAGAAGAAAATCAAAAGAGCTTAGAGCAGTGGTTCTTAACTTTGGTTCGATCGAACCCAAGAGTTCGGTATGCAAGTCTCAGAGCTTCGGCGGAGGTCAAGACACACACCCCACATATAACTTGAGTACCGTTACAGCTAGGTTGATACAATTTAAGTATTATATCAAAATTGTAAGATCCTTATAAATTTTTGAGCGATTTCCGATAATCGGAAGTAGAACTTTTTCTACTTTGAATTTTTCAAAAGCCTATAACTGGAGTACTATTTCAGATAGATGATTGAAATTTCACAAGTAAGTAAAAAATCTAATTCTCTGCCTTCTATTAAATTTTGAATAATTTCTGTTGACTGGAAGTAGTAATTTTTGCTATTTCCGATTTCTCAAATAATATTCCGCACTATTATACACATTTTGTTTTGCGTTCACTTGGTATGCGATTCTTTTTATTACGATATTCTATTCTATTTTAAAGTTCAAGTAATTAAAAATGGATTTACAATCATGTCTATATCCCAAGTTGCGATCCTTCGTAGTGTTATATAAGAATATTCGAGAAAGTTTAGGGGAGATCACTCCCGGTTTAAAAAAAAGTTTCCCTAATTGTACAATGCACTTTAGTACAATTAGTTTCTTTTTCAGTGCCAAAGCTTGTTTACTCAAAATTCAGTGCAGTTTTGCGATTTTAGTTAGCCTAAAAGCGCCCCCCCCCTGCACCATCTTGATAAAAGTCACTAAAGTATTTTACGGTTAAACAATCGTACAATACGTTTTAATACAATTGGTTGTTTTTATAAGTGGTAACGTTTATCGACTTACCAATTTAGTGTAAATTATTCCGATTTTAGTCTAAAAAAAGCGCCCCCCCCCCCCATCTAGGAAAAGCTGGAAAGCGGTTTTGCCGGTCACTGTTTCTTAAGAGTATTTGTTTTACAGTTAATAATCAAGGTAGAAAAACAGTTAAACCAGTATGTAAAGGCGTGTAGACATAACATTTCTTAACTTAACTTTTTATAATTCAAAACTGCAGCATAAAATCAGCTTTAAAAATTTTTCCCACCTCTTTTGGCGCCACCTAGGGTCGGCGCCCGGGGCGCCCCCCTCCCCCAGCTACGTGTCTGACCAAAAGTTGAGCTTGCTGAGTAAATTATCTTATTTTATTTTTAGTTATTATTGTTATAAACCATAATGATTTTAAAGTTTATACATATGCTACAAAAAAAAAAAAAAAAAAAAAAAAAAAAAAAAAAAACCACACCACGCACATTAATAAATGCTCAAATTTTTCTCAACAATTTAATCAAAATATTTCTTAGAAGATATTTGTGATTTTTTTCCTCTGACTTTATTTATGTGACTTTTTTCCGATACAATTTTTCCTTTGTGACTTTTTCATTTTGTGTGACTTTTTTTCCTAGCAAAACTCACTTTTTTTGCGTTTTTTTTCCTGTGACTTTTTTCCGCTCGCCGTCTAGTGAACACATGTGGGTAAGCCTATATCGCTTGTCTAATTGACAATACTGTGAATGATGTCAACATAACATGGTGACCTAGCGATTGCACGTGACCTAGATGCCGACACAACGCGCCTTGTGTACTAGACCTAGATAGCCTAGACTGCTAACAACAAATCTTTTGAGATATTGCACATTTTACCAGCAGTTAGCTATTTAATGCTGCCCGAGGTAGGTAGGCTAACACAGCGTGCACACAAAGGTAGGGGCTTTATGTTGTTTACACATCTAAACTCGATGACAAATGTTGACGGTTTGGTAGAGCTCAAGTTGAAATCATGTGTGGACTGCCCGGGACTTGCGTGTTGTATAGTCAGTGCTTCAGGGGTCGTTCAGAAATGTATTTCTGCGATCATGTTTGTGTGCAGTTAGTGCTGGGGGGGGGGGGGGGGTCGTACAACAATATGGACAATATACACCGTTCATTCAATCGCCATAAAACTTTGGAAATGCCATTGGGAATTCTCGTAGGCAGGTTTCTGCAAAATACGTTTTTTAAATTTTTGGATGGGCGGTTCCCCGCAGGGTGCAAAGCGATTTTGTCTCTATACGGTATATTAAAAGTCTTAAGGAGCGCCCTACAATATGGGCACGCTGTGCCGCTACATTCGATGACTAAACCGAAACAGGGGATGCATCCGGCGCCCCTAATAAAATGGTGGTCGCCGAGGTGTGTTCTACCTCACTATTACGGAGGGTGATTAATGTACATGAAATGGGTCTTGGCAAGAGTTTGTACAAATCCGCAACCCTACATCCAAGTTCCATTATAGCGCAATGAGGAAATTCTCTTAAAATATTGTGTCAGCCTGCGGTCTCAGAAGAAACTTTGACGCACTATTTTAAGAGGGTTTCATAAATGCGTTACAAATACTTTATTATTAGACGTGTGATCTTGTTTTCTAAAACTGTCTTATTTAAATGTAAACTATGCCTGCGCTCTATTTCTTGAATTATATTTGTGGGGGCACGGGTAAGTCCAGGGCGTTCTGTATTAAAACCTTGAGTGTACGCTAATCTCTATCCCTAATATTGAGGTAGACACCCTTTGACGACCGCCCATGTATCAGGGGAGTGGCGGCTCTGCTCTGGGGAGCCACCGGTTACACTCCTGGGGCGCCACTCCTTCGAAATTTTATTTTTCCCCCCCAAGGAAAATTTTCAACAACTTCCCAAAAGGCTAAAAAGAGGCATAAAAGACAAGCACACAGACAAACCGACATCCTTTCATTTTTATATGCATAGACCGATTACCAACCGCTATTTTTAGAAATGTATCTTTTCTGACGATACTCAAGATTTATACTTAATTTAAGGTATTACGAATCATTATTTTTTACAACGATAGGCCATAGGACAAAGTGAAACAAGCAAGCTTGTATTTTTTTTTTGCGAAATAATCTAAGTCTGGTTCATTCCTCTGAATATTCCAATTCAATAACATTTCTTATTTTTATTCCGGGACCCCCCAGGGCCAATGTGAGTCCCTGGAGACCATAACTGAGTTTTTCCCCCAGCAGAAACCCTCTCGGCAGTGTTTTCATCAACTCCCCAAATTTTATGGTGATCGGATGAAAGGTGTGGTAATGCATAAAGAACAAACCCACAAGCTTTTCATATATATATATATATATATAAGATCATGAGCAGATGTAGGGTTTTTTATACCGTAAGGATCACGAAATTAAGTCTTTATAGATTATTGATTAAAGTAAATGACAGAAACATTCAAATTATTTTATTGTACCATAGTCTCAACAAGTAGTATCACTTGTTACAACAAGTTGAACTTTTATGGCATTTAGAATTACATAGTAGCTTGTTATTTTTACACTTGCAGCGATTTGTTGTGCATTTGGTTGTGCCATTGCAGTAAATATAGCCTTGGCCACAGGTCAGTGATTGTGAAGATGCGATGTTTCGTAGTGATTTTTCCTCAGTGCCAAAGGGCGACAATGAGAGCGGTTTTCCGTGAATAATTGAAAACTCACTTCTAGTATACAGTTGCTTTAGAACACCATGTTCTGTTCCTAGCTTGTAGAAAGCGTCCTTGACACTCATGACAATTGTGATGACGCTTCGGGGATCACCGCGACCTCTGTGAACATCAAGTATACGGATGCCAACATTATCTCCCACTTCAGCCTGTTAAAAATTTGTATCTGATTTTGCTTTGGCCGCACTTCGGGCTTTGACCGTAACTATATATAAATAATTTAGAAAAAAAACCTCAATTGTTCAATACGTTTTTGTACTTGTTTTTGTTTTTTAACTAATTAATTTTTATTTGGCCTACTTTTTCTCCGTCAGAGCTTAGATCTAGATTCTAATTTCTCCAAAATAAAATCATTAGGCCTAAATCTAGATCTTTATTCTCAAATTAGAAGATCTCTCAAGTGTGTCATATTGAAAATTGTTAATACTGCTGGAGCCTATTAGAACTAACAAACCGATATAGGTTATAATTAAAGCTATAGCCGAAACATAATATGCATTATAACGCATTAACCTTTTCAAGAAGCAACTTTTTTTTTATCACTAGGACCCATTTTATTTTGCTTTGAAGCAAAATGTACTTGTAAATTTTCCAATGTACAATTTAAAAAGTTAATAAACAAATGAGAATATTTCTTTGAATTTTATCTAAGTTCAAATGGACTTAGAGGAGGGCGGGCTTGTGGATGACACGCCTATAGTAAATAACTGAACTTGATCACCATTGTGTAATAATTATAAACTGTTAATAGATGTCTAGAAAACTTAATATTGGTCATTTAAAATGCAATTTCGTTTTACAACTGAAAATTTTAATTCAAGTAAAGTGCAAAGAAAAAAATATAAATCAATTTATTATCCTTCACATACATTTTAATTTTATCTGAAAAACAATACGAGTTACTTCACATTATAGAGATAAATGAATTAAAAAAAAAACCCACTTCCTTTAGTTTGTTTTCGTTGTTTGCGTTATTGCTTGTTATGAGCGTTTATGCAGGGGCGTAGCGAGGGGGGGGGGGGTGCGGGGGGGTGCGGACCGCACCGGGTGACACTATTTAGGGGGGTGACACCAAGGAAAAAAATAGCAAAATATATAGAGAAAAACTCGAGGGGGGGGGGGGGGGTGCAAATCGAAAGTTTGAGGGGGGGGGGGTGCAAATCGAAAACTTGAGGGGGGGTGCAAATCGAAAACTTGAGGGGGGGGGGTGCAAATCGAAAACTTGAGGGGGGGGGGTGTGCAAATCGAAAACTTGAGGGGGGGGGGTGCAAATCGAAAGTTTTAGGGGGGGGGGGATGCAAATCGAAAATTTGAAAGTTTGTCCCTGGGAAGGGTCTCTATGCCTCTGGGGGGGGGGTGACACCATTAAGTGCCGCACCGGGTGACACCCGACCTCGCTACGCCACTGCCTTTATGGTTGCGTATGCGTATGCGTTTCTATTTATATTTTATCAAATTTATAGACATTTAATTGAAAATTGTACCTACTCACAAACCCTGAGAAGCGCAGTGTATATGCTGCTCAATTAGTACAAAAGTCACGGTCCTCTGCAGATACGTTTATCTCAAAAGCCAGTGCAGCGCCTGACCGGTACGGCTATTCAAAGTATTAAAACAAAATTTTAAATTATACATTCATTAAAAAAAAAATGTTTCTACCTAAGTTAGTATTTTAAAATTCTACACACATTGCAGAATAGCCCTCTATATATATATGCCTCTCTATATATAGAGGCATATATATATATATATAAAATAAATAAATAAATAAATAAATAAATAAATAAATAAATAAATAAATAAATAAATAAATAAATAAATAAATAAATAAATAAATAAATAAATAAATAAATAAATAAATAAATAAATAAATAAATAAATAAATAAATAAATAAATAAATAATAAATATATATATATATATATATATATATATATATATATATATATATATATATATATATATATATATATATATATATATATATATATATATATATATATGTCTATGGGGCTTTAGGTGGGTCAGGGATTACCATGATGACACTATAATGTTTCTAGGGACCCAGGCACCACTTTAATGTTTCTAGGGTCCCAGGCCCCACTTTAATGTTTCTAGGGTCCCAGGCACCACTTTAATGTTTCTAGGGTCCCAGGCACCACTTTAATGTTTCTAGGGTCCCAGGCCCCACTTTAATGTTTCTAGGGTCCCAGGCACCACTTTAATGTTTCTAGGGTCCCAGGCCCCACTTTAATGTTTCTAGGGTCCCAGGCACCACTTTAATGTTTCTAGGGTCCCAGGCACCACTTTAATGTTTCTAGGGTCCCAGGCTCCACTTTAATGTTTCTAGGTTCCCAGGCCCCACTTTAATGTTTCTAGTGTCCCAGGCTCCACTTTAATGTTTCTAGGGTCCCAGGCTCCACTTTAATGTTTCTAGGTTCCCAGGCCCCACTTTAATGTTTCTAGTGTCCCAGGCTCCACTTTAATGTTTCTAGGGTCCCAGGCCCCACTTTAATGTTTCTAGTGTCCCAGGCTCCACTTTAATGTTTCTAGGGTCCCAGGCCCCACTTTAATGTTTCTAGGGTCCCAGGCACCACTTTAATGTTTCTAGGGCCCCAGGCTCCACTTTAATGTTTCTAGGGTCCCAGGCACCACTTTAATTTCTAGGGTCCCAGGCACCACTTTAATGTTTCTAGGGTCCCAGGCACCACTTTAATGTTTCTAGGGCCCCAGGCTCCACTTTAATGTTTCTAGGGTCCCAGGCACCACTTTAATTTCTAGGGTCCCAGGCCCCACTTTAATGTTTGGAAGGTCCCAGGCACCACTTTAATGTTTCTAGGGCCCCAGGCTCCACTTTAATGTTTCTAGGGTCCCAGGCACCACTTTAATTTCTAGGGTCCCAGGCCCCACTTTAATGTTTGGAAGGTCCCAGGCACCACTTTAATGTTTCTAGGGTCCCAGGCACCACTTTAATGTTTCTAGGGCCCCAGGCTCCACTTTAATGTTTCTAGGGTCCCAGGCACCACTTTAATTTCTAGGGTCCCAGGCCCCACTTTAATGTTTCTAGGGTCCCAGGCACCACTTTAATTTCTAGGGTCCCAGGCTCCACTTTAATGTTTCTAGGGTCCCAGGCACCACTTTAATTTCTAGGGTCCCAGGCTCCACTTTAATGTTTCTAGGGCCCCAGGCTCCACTTTAATGTTTCTAGGGCCCCAGGCTCCACTTTAATGTTTCTAGGGCCCCAGGCTCCACTTTAATGTTTCTAGGGCCCCAGGCCCCACTTTAATGTTTCTAGGGCCCCAGGCTCCACTTTAATGTTTCTAGTGTCCCAGGCCCCACTTTAATGTTTCTAGGGCCCCAGGCCCCACTTTAATGTTTCTAGGGTCCCAGGCACCACTTTAATGTTTCTAGGGTCCCAGGCTCCACTTTAATGTTTCTAGGTTCCCAGGCCCCACTTTAATGTTTCTAGTGTCCCAGGCTCCACTTTAATGTTTCTAGGGTCCCAGGCTCCACTTTAATGTTTCTAGGGTCCCAGGCCCCACTTTAATGTTTCTAGGGTCCCAGGCACCACTTTAATGTTTCTAGGGTCCCAGGCACCACTTTAATGTTTCTAGGGTCCCAGGCTCCACTTTAATGTTTCTAGGTTCCCAGGCCCCACTTTAATGTTTCTAGTGTCCCAGGCTCCACTTTAATGTTTCTAGGGTCCCAGGCTCCACTTTAATGTTTCTAGGGTCCCAGGCCCCACTTTAATGTTTCTAGTGTCCCAGGCACCACTTTAATGTTTCTAGGGTCCCAGGCCCCACTTTAATGTTTCTAGGGTCCCAGGCACCACTTTAATGTTTCTAGGGTCCCAGGCACCACTTTAATGTTTCTAGGGTCCCAGGCCCCACTTTAATGTTTCTAGGGTCCCAGGCACCACTTTAATGTTTCTAGGGTCCCAGGCCCCACTTTAATGTTTCTAGGGTCCCAGGCACCACTTTAATGTTTCTAGGGTCCCAGGCACCACTTTAATGTTTCTAGGGTCCCAGGCTCCACTTTAATGTTTCTAGGTTCCCAGGCCCCACTTTAATGTTTCTAGTGTCCCAGGCTCCACTTTAATGTTTCTAGGGTCCCAGGCTCCACTTTAATGTTTCTAGGTTCCCAGGCCCCACTTTAATGTTTCTAGTGTCCCAGGCTCCACTTTAATGTTTCTAGGGTCCCAGGCCCCACTTTAATGTTTCTAGTGTCCCAGGCTCCACTTTAATGTTTCTAGGGTCCCAGGCCCCACTTTAATGTTTCTAGGGTCCCAGGCACCACTTTAATGTTTCTAGGGCCCCAGGCTCCACTTTAATGTTTCTAGGGTCCCAGGCACCACTTTAATTTCTAGGGTCCCAGGCACCACTTTAATGTTTCTAGGGTCCCAGGCACCACTTTAATGTTTCTAGGGCCCCAGGCTCCACTTTAATGTTTCTAGGGTCCCAGGCACCACTTTAATTTCTAGGGTCCCAGGCCCCACTTTAATGTTTGGAAGGTCCCAGGCACCACTTTAATGTTTCTAGGGCCCCAGGCTCCACTTTAATGTTTCTAGGGTCCCAGGCACCACTTTAATTTCTAGGGTCCCAGGCCCCACTTTAATGTTTGGAAGGTCCCAGGCACCACTTTAATGTTTCTAGGGTCCCAGGCACCACTTTAATGTTTCTAGGGCCCCAGGCTCCACTTTAATGTTTCTAGGGTCCCAGGCACCACTTTAATTTCTAGGGTCCCAGGCCCCACTTTAATGTTTCTAGGGTCCCAGGCACCACTTTAATTTCTAGGGTCCCAGGCTCCACTTTAATGTTTCTAGGGTCCCAGGCACCACTTTAATTTCTAGGGTCCCAGGCTCCACTTTAATGTTTCTAGGGCCCCAGGCTCCACTTTAATGTTTCTAGGGCCCCAGGCTCCACTTTAATGTTTCTAGGGCCCCAGGCTCCACTTTAATGTTTCTAGGGCCCCAGGCCCCACTTTAATGTTTCTAGGGCCCCAGGCTCCACTTTAATGTTTCTAGTGTCCCAGGCCCCACTTTAATGTTTCTAGGGCCCCAGGCCCCACTTTAATGTTTCTAGGGTCCCAGGCACCACTTTAATGTTTCTAGGGTCCCAGGCTCCACTTTAATGTTTCTAGGTTCCCAGGCCCCACTTTAATGTTTCTAGTGTCCCAGGCTCCACTTTAATGTTTCTAGGGTCCCAGGCTCCACTTTAATGTTTCTAGGGTCCCAGGCCCCACTTTAATGTTTCTAGGGTCCCAGGCACCACTTTAATGTTTCTAGGGTCCCAGGCACCACTTTAATGTTTCTAGGGTCCCAGGCTCCACTTTAATGTTTCTAGGTTCCCAGGCCCCACTTTAATGTTTCTAGTGTCCCAGGCTCCACTTTAATGTTTCTAGGGTCCCAGGCTCCACTTTAATGTTTCTAGGGTCCCAGGCCCCACTTTAATGTTTCTAGTGTCCCAGGCACCACTTTAATGTTTCTAGGGTCCCAGGCTCCACTTTAATGTTTCTAGTGTCCCAGGCACCACTTTAATGTTTCTAGTGTCCCAGGCTCCACTTTAATGTTTCTAGGGTCCCAGGCACCACTTTAATGTTTCTAGGGTCCCAGGCTCCACTTTAATGTTTCTAGGGTCCCAGGCACCACTTTAATGTTTCTAGGGTCCCAGGCACCACTTTAATGTTTCTAGGGTCCCAGGCCCCACTTTAATGTTTCTAGGGTCCCAGGCACCACTTTAATGTTTCTAGTGTCCCAGGCTCCACTTTAATGTTTCTAGGGTCCCAGGCACCACTTTAATGTTTCTAGGGTCCCAGGCACCACTTTAATTTCTAGGGTCCCAGGCCCCACTTTAATGTTTCTAGGGTCCCAGGCCCCACTTTAATGTTTCTAGGGTCCCAGGCCCCACTTTAATGTTTCTAGGGTCCCAGGCACCACTTTAATGTTTCTAGGGTCCCAGGCCCCACTTTAATGTTTCTAGGGTCCCAGGCACCACTTTAATGTTTCTAGTGTCCCAGGCTCCACTTTAATGTTTCTAGGGTCCCAGGCACCACTTTAATGTTTCTAGGGTCCCAGGCACCACTTTAATTTCTAGGGTCCCAGGCCCCACTTTAATGTTTCTAGGGTCCCAGGCCCCACTTTAATGTTTCTAGGGTCCCAGGCTCCACTTTAATGTTTCTAGGGTCCCAGGCCCCACTTTAATGTTTCTAGGGTCCCAGGCACCACTTTAATGTTTCTAGTGTCCCAGGCACCACTTTAATGTTTCTAGGGTCCCAGGCTCCACTTTAATGTTTCTAGGTTCCCAGGCCCCACTTTAATGTTTCTAGGTTCCCAGGCCCCACTTTAATGTTTCTAGTGTCCCAGGCACCACTTTAATGTTTCTAGGGTCCCAGGCTCCACTTTAATGTTTCTAGGTTCCCAGGCCCCACTTTAATGTTTCTAGGTTCCCAGGCCCCACTTTAATGTTTCTAGTGTCCCAGGCCCCACTTTAATGTTTCTAGGTTCCCAGGCCCCACTTTAATGTTTCTAGGGTCCCAGGCTCCACTTTAATGTTTCTAGGTTCCCAGGCCCCACTTTAATGTTTCTAGTGTCCCAGGCCCCACTTTAATGTTTCTAGGTTCCCAGGCCCCACTTTAATGTTTCTAGGGTCCCAGGCACCACTTTAATGTTTCTAGTGTCCCAGGCCCCACTTTAATGTTTCTAGGTTCCCAGGCCCCACTTTAATGTTTCTAGGGTCCCAGGCCCCACTTTAATGTTTGGAAGGTCCCAGGCCTCGCTATGAAAAATCTGTTCTGTTGGATATCGCGGCGGATCTTGTCTTGCCAATCTGGCAACACAGGCCGTGTAGTGAGCCAAGTTGTCCTGGCCAAATGTGACCACCGTCGTCTGCTGTCCACCGCTGCAGTCATCCCCAGCCACCTGCCGGACATGCACATCCCGACCAACCTGCCGTTCCACCAGTACATTTTTGACCGCTGCCAGCTGTACGGGGATACCACGGCACTCGTAAGTCAGGTCACCTTATTGATCAGTGCCATCTGTCACATCACTGTCAGCTGTCTATATGCCATCTGTCACATCACTGTCAGCTGTCTATATGCCATCTGTCACATCACTGTCAGCTGTCTATATGCCATCTGTCACATCACTGTCAGCTGTCTATATGCCATCTGTCACATCACTGTCAGCTGTCTATATGCCATCTGTCACATCACTGGCAGCTGTCTATATGCCATCTGTCACATCACTGTCAGCTGTCTATATGCCATCTGTCACATCGCTGTCAGCTGTCTATATGCCATCTGTCACATCACTGTCAGCTGTCTATATGCCATCTGTCACATCACTGTCAGCTGTCTATATGCCATCTGTCACATCACTGTCAGCTGTCTATATGCCATCTGTCAAATCACTAGCTGTCATAAACGTCTTCGGCTGCCTGCAGCTAGATCTAGTTGCTGTCTGTCGATGGGGACGGCTAGATCTAGCTATTTTCTTCCTAAATTATAATTTGCAGGAAGATTTTCTGACGGGCAGAAAATACACCTTCCTGGATCTGAAGGAGAAGTCTATCAAAGTGGCCAGCGCGCTGACCCGTAAAGGCTACCGTAAAGGTGACGTTGTACTTGCCTTCACCCCCAACACAATCGACTTCACGGTCCTGATGCTGGCCTGTGCCGCCACCGGCCTTTGGTTTTCTGCCGCCAACCCCGCCTTTACAGCAGGTTAGTCGCTCGTGAGAGTACAATGTGGGTGTAAATAGGTGCTGGTGGTGTAAATAGGTGATGGTGATGTAAATAGGTGCTGGTTGTGTAAATAGGTGATGGTGGTGTAAATAGGTGATGGTTGTGTAAATAGGTGATGGTGGTGTAAATAGGTGATGGTGGTGTAAATAGGTGATGGTGGTGTAAATAGGTGCTGGTGGTGTAAATAAGTGCTGGTGGTGTAAATAGGTGCTGGTGGTGTAAATAGGTGATGGTTGTGTAAATAAGTGATGGTTGTGTAAATAGGTGATGGTGGTGTAAATAGGTGATGGTGATGTAAATAGGTGATGGTGATGTAAATAGGTGCTGGTTGTGTAAATAGGTGATGGTGGTGTAAACAGGTGATGGTGGTGTAAATAGGTGATGGTGGTGTAAATAGGTGATGGTGGTGTAAATAGGTGATGGTGATGTAAATAGGTGCTGGTTGTGTAAATAGGTGATGGTGGTGTAAACAGGTGATGGTGGTGTAAATAGGTGATGGTGGTGTAAATAGGTGATGGTGGTGTAAATAGGTGATGGTTGTGTAAATAGGTGATGGTGGTGTAAATAGGTGATGGTGGTGTAAATAGGTGATGGTGGTGTAAATAGGTGATGGTTGTGTAAATAAGTGATGGTTGTGTAAATAGGTGATGGTGGTGTAAATAGGTGATGGTGGTGTAAATAGGTGATGGTGGTGTAAATAGGTGCTGGTTGTGTAAATAGGTGCTGGTGGTGTAAACAGGTGATGGTGGTGTAAATAGGTGATGGTTGTGTAGATGGTGTAAATAGGTGCTGGGTGTGTAAATAGGTGCTGGTTGTGTGAATAGGTGCTGGTTGTGTAAATAGGTGCTAGTGATGTAAATAGGTGATGGTGGTGTAAATAGGTGATGGTGGTGTAAATAGGTGATGTGGTGTAAATAGGTGCTGGTTGTGTAAATAGGTGCTGGTGGTGTAAATAGGTGCTGGTGGTGTAAATAGGTGATGGTTGTGTAAATAGGTGCTGGTGGTGTAAATAGGTGATGGTTGTGTAAATAGGTGCTAGTGGTGTAAATAGGTGTTGGTGGTGTAAATAGGTGATGGTGGTGTAAATAGGTGCTTGTGGTGTAAATAGGTGATGGTGGTGTAAATAGGTGATGGTGATGTAAATAGGTGCTGGTTGTGTAAAGAGGTTCTGTGTGACCTCCCTGACAATATACCCTTGCAGAAGAGTTAAGCCGTCAGTTGCTACACAGCAGATCGAAGGCTGTCTTCACAGTTCCAGCCCTAGCTAGCCATGTCCGACAGGCGTTGCTCACACCTCTCAACTGTGTCAAGGTCAGTGGGTCTAGGTCAGTGGGTCAGGGTCAGTGTTCTAGGTTATTGTGTATGTATCAAGATTAATATCCAAGACGTAGGTTGAGACTTGTCCTGATTTTGCAGAATGTACAGGACCAGGAAGTAACCCTAGCTCTAGTGCTGTAGGCAGAATTTTGGCCTGGTGCTATTCTAAAATAAACGAATGCACGCACGTGTATGTAGAATGTTTTAATGTTTAGGATTGTAAAGTCTCTATAGAGAATATCCGGTTTTAATCTGTAGGACTTTACATAAAATGTCCGGTTTTAATCTGTAGGACTTTACATAAAATGTCCGGTTTTAATCTGTAGGACTTTACATAAAATGTCCGGTTTTAATCTGTAGGACTTTACATAAAATGTCCGGTTTTAATCTGTAGGACTTTACATAAAATGTCCGGTTTTAATCTGTAGGACTTGTTTGTGTTCGGAGAATGTCCGGGTTTCCAGCCTTTTCAAAGTTTGATTGATGACGACGGAAAAGCTTTCCCCGATGTGGACATCAACCCAGTGGAGGACGTCTTCACATTGCCCTACTCCAGCGGGACAACAGGCATGCCCAAGGGGGTCATGTTGACCCATTACAACTGTTTGGCCAACTGTTTACAGGTTATGTAAGTCATAAGGTCTTCTTGACCCAATACAAATGATCTATTTTCTAAGTCATTTAGACAATGTTTAATATCTCAAGTCAGCTTTGATACTGACGTCACTGACTAACCATGTAAAACTGACGTCACTAACCAACCATGTAAAACTGACGTCACTGACCAACCATGTAAAACTGACGTCACTGGACAACCATGTAAAACTGACGTCAGTAACCAACCATGTAAAACTGACGTCACTAACCAACCATGTAAAACTGACGTCACTGACCAACCATGTAAAACTGACGTCACTGACCAACCATGTAAAACTGACGTCACTGACCAACCATGTAAAACTGACGTCAGTAACCAACCATGTAAAACTGACGTCACTGGACAACCATGTAAAACTGACGTCACTGACCAACCATGTAAAACTGACGTCAGTAACCAACCATGTAAAACTGACGTCAGTAACCAACCATGTAAAACTGACGTCAGTAACCAACCATGTAAAACTAACGTCACTGACCAACCATGTAAAACTGACGTCAGTAACCAACCATGTAAAACTGACGTCAGTAACCAACCATGTAAAACTGACGTCACTGACCAACCATGTAAAACTGACGTCAGTAACCAACCATGTAAAACTGACGTCCCACTACCAAGTGACCCTCCTGCAGGCAGAGTTTCCCAGTGGGACCAGGCGAGTGCGGCCTTGGCCTACTTCCTCTCTACCACATCTACGGCATGATGGTCGTCCAGTTCAGCGTTATCCAGGGGGGCGCCGCTCTCTGCTACCTCCCCAAGTTTGAACCAGAGATTTTTCTGAGGTGCTTGCACGAGAAAAAGGTATGGGCATGTGAGCATAGGTCAGTTTTCTTAAGGTCTATCTGTACAGGTCAATGTGCTCCATGTCTGTACAGGTCAATGTGTTCCATGTCTGTCTGTACAGGTCAATGTGCTCCATGTCTGTACAGGTCAATGTGCTCCATGTCTGTACAGGTCAATGTGCTCCATGTCTGTACAGGTCAATGTGCTCCCTGTCTGTACAGGTCAATGTGCTCCATGTCTGTACAGGTCAATGTGCTCCATGTCTGTACAGGTCAATGTGCTCCATGTCTGTCTGTACAGGTCAATGTGCTCCATGTCTGTACAGGTCAATGTGCTCCATGTCTGTACAGGTCAATGTGCTCCATGTCTGTACAGGTCAATGTGCTCCATGTCTGTCTGTACAGGTCAATGTGCTCCATGTCTGTACAGGTCAATGTGCTCCATGTCTGTCTGTACAGGTCAATGTGCTCCATGTCTGTCTGTACAGGTCAATGTGCTCCATGTCTGTACAGGTCAATGTGCTCCATGTCTGTCTGTACAGGTCAATGTGCTCCATGTCTGTCTGTACAGGTCAATGTGCTCCATGTCTGTACAGGTCAATGTGCTCCATGTCTGTACAGGTCAATGTGCTCCATGTCTGTACAGGTCAATGTGCTCCATGTCTGTACAGGTCAATGTGCTCCATGTCTGTACAGGTCAATGTGCTCCATGTCTGTACAGGTCAATGTGCTCCATGTCTGTACAGGTCAATGTGCTCCATGTCTGTCTGTACAGGTCAATGTGCTCCATGTCTGTCTGTACAGGTCAATGTGCTCCATGTCTGTACAGGTCAATGTGCTCCATGTCTGTACAGGTCAATGTGCTCCATGTCTGTCTGTACAGGTCAATGTGCTCCATGTCTGTACAGGTCAATGTGCTCCATGTCTGTACAGGTCAATGTGCTCCATGTCTGTACAGGTCAATGTGCTCCATGTCTGTCTGTACAGGTCAATGTGCTCCATGTCTGTCTGTACAGGTCAATGTGCTCCATGTCTGTCTGTACAGGTCAATGTGCTCCATGTCTGTACAGGTCAATGTTCTCCATGTCTGTACAGGTCAATGTGCTCCATGTCTGTCTGTACAGGTCAATGTTCTCCATGTCTGTACAGGTCAATGTGCTCCATGTCTGTCTGTACAGGTCAATGTGCTCCATGTCTGGACATGTCAATGTGCTCCATGTCTGTCTGTACAGGTCAATGTGCTCCATGTCTGTCTGGACATGTCAATGTGCTCCATGTCTGTACAGGTCAATGTGCTCCATGTCTGTCTGTACAGGTCAATGTGCTCCATGTCTGTCTGTACAGGTCAATGTGCTCCATGTCTGTACAGGTCAATGTGCTCCATGTCTGTACAGGTCAATGTGCTCCATGTCTGTACAGGTCAATGTGCTCCATGTCTGTACAGGTCAATGTGCTCCATGTCTGTACAGGTCAATGTGCTCCATGTCTGTACAGGTCAATGTGCTCCATGTCTGTACAGGTCAATGTGCTCCATGTCTGTACAGGTCAATGTGCTCCATGTCTGTACAGGTCAATGTGCTCCCTGTCTGTACAGGTCAATGTGCTCCATGTCTGTACAGGTCAATGTGCTCCATGTCTGTACAGGTCAATGTGCTCCATGTCTGTCTGTACAGGTCAATGTGCTCCATGTCTGTACAGGTCAATGTGCTCCATGTCTGTACAGGTCAATGTGCTCCATGTCTGTACAGGTCAATGTGCTCCATGTCTGTCTGTACAGGTCAATGTGCTCCATGTCTGTACAGGTCAATGTGCTCCATGTCTGTCTGTACAGGTCAATGTGCTCCATGTCTGTCTGTACAGGTCAATGTGCTCCATGTCTGTACAGGTCAATGTGCTCCATGTCTGTCTGTACAGGTCAATGTGCTCCATGTCTGTCTGTACAGGTCAATGTGCTCCATGTCTGTACAGGTCAATGTGCTCCATGTCTGTACAGGTCAATGTGCTCCATGTCTGTACAGGTCAATGTGCTCCATGTCTGTACAGGTCAATGTGCTCCATGTCTGTACAGGTCAATGTGCTCCATGTCTGTACAGGTCAATGTGCTCCATGTCTGTACAGGTCAATGTGCTCCATGTCTGTCTGTACAGGTCAATGTGCTCCATGTCTGTCTGTACAGGTCAATGTGCTCCATGTCTGTACAGGTCAATGTGCTCCATGTCTGTACAGGTCAATGTGCTCCATGTCTGTCTGTACAGGTCAATGTGCTCCATGTCTGTACAGGTCAATGTGCTCCATGTCTGTACAGGTCAATGTGCTCCATGTCTGTACAGGTCAATGTGCTCCATGTCTGTACAGGTCAATGTGCTCCATGTCTGTACAGGTCAATGTGCTCCATGTCTGTACAGGTCAATGTGCTCCATGTCTGTACAGGTCAATGTGCTCCATGTCTGTACAGGTCAATGTGCTCCATGTCTGTACAGGTCAATGTGCTCCATGTCTGTACAGGTCAATGTGCTCCATGTCTGTACAGGTCAATGTGCTCCATGTCTGTACAGGTCAATGTGCTCCATGTCTGTACAGGTCAATGTGCTCCATGTCTGTACAGGTCAATGTGCTCCATGTCTGTACAGGTCAATGTGCTCCATGTCTGTCTGTACAGGTCAATGTGCTCCATGTCTGTACAGGTCAATGTGCTCCATGTCTGTACAGGTCAATGTGCTCCATGTCTGTCTGTACAGGTCAATGTGCTCCATGTCTGTACAGGTCAATGTGCTCCATGTCTGTACAGGTCAATGTGCTCCATGTCTGTACAGGTCAATGTGCTCCATGTCTGTACAGGTCAATGTGCTCCATGTCTGTACAGGTCAATGTGCTCCATGTCTGTACAGGTCAATGTGCTCCATGTCTGTACAGGTCAATGTGCTCCATGTCTGTCTGTACAGGTCAATGTGCTCCATGTCTGTACAGGTCAATGTGCTCCATGTCTGTACAGGTCAATGTGCTCCATGTCTGTACAGGTCAATGTGCTCCATGTCTGTCTGTACAGGTCAATGTTCTCCATGTCTGTACAGGTCAATGTGCTCCATGTCTGTCTGTACAGGTCAATGTGCTCCATGTCTGTACAGGTCAATGTGCTCCATGTCTGTACAGGTCAATGTGCTCCATGTCTGTACAGGTCAATGTGCTCCATGTCTGTACAGGTCAATGTGCTCCATGTCTGTACAGGTCAATGTGCTCCATGTCTGTACAGGTCAATGTGCTCCATGTCTGGACAGGTCAATGTGCTCCATGTCTGTACAGGTCAATGTGCTCCATGTCTGTACAGGTCAATGTGCTCCATGTCTGTACAGGTCAATGTGCTCCATGTCTGTACAGGTCAATGTGCTCCATGTCTGTACAGGTCAATGTGCTCCATGTCTGTACATGTCAATGTGCTCCATGTCTGGACATGTCAATGTGCTCCATGTCTGGACATGTCAATGTGCTCCATGTCTGTACAGGTCAATGTGCTCCATGTCTGTACAGGTCAATGTGCTCCATGTCTGTACAGGTCAATGTGCTCCATGTCTGTACAGGTCAATGTGCTCCATGTCTGTACAGGTCAATGTGCTCCATGTCTGTACAGGTCAATGTGCTCCATGTCTGTACAGGTCAATGTGCTCCATGTCTGTACAGGTCAATGTGCTCCATGTCTGTACAGGTCAATGTGCTCCATGTCTGTACAGGTCAATGTGCTCCATGTCTGTACAGGTCAATGTGCTCCATGTCTGTCTGTACAGGTCAATGTGCTCCATGTCTGTCTGTACAGGTCAATGTGCTCCATGTCTGTCTGTACATGTCAATGTGCTCCATGTCTGTACAGGTCAATGTGCTGCATGTCTGTACAGGTCAATGTGCTCCATGTCTGTACAGGTCAATGTGCTCCATGTCTGTACAGGTCAATGTGCTCCATGTCTGTACAGGTCAATGTGCTCCATGTCTGTACAGGTCAATGTGCTCCATGTCTGTCTGTACAGGTCAATGTGCTCCATGTCTGTCTGTACAGGTCAATGTGCTCCATGTCTGTCTGTACATGTCAATGTGCTCCATGTCTGTACAGGTCAATGTGCTCCATGTCTGTCTGTACAGGTCAATGTGCTCCATGTCTGTCTGGACATGTCAATGTGCTCCATGTCTGTACAGGTCAATGTGCTCCATGTCTGTCTGTACAGGTCAATGTTCTCCATGTCTGTACAGGTCAATGTGCTCCATGTCTGTACAGGTCAATGTGCTCCATGTCTGTATAGGTCAATGTGCTCCATGTCTGTACAGGTCAATGTGCTCCATGTCTGTACAGGTCAATGTGCTCCATGTCTGGACATGTCAATGTGCTCCATGTCTGTACAGGTCAATGTGCTCCATGTCTGTACAGGTCAATGTGCTCCATGTCTGGACATGTCAATGTGCTCCATGTCTGTACAGGTCAATGTGCTCCATGTCTGTACAGGTCAATGTGCTCCATGTCTGTACAGGTCAATGTGCTCCATGTCTGTCTGTACAGGTCAATGTGCTCCATGTCTGTCTGGACATGTCAATGTGCTCCATGTCTGTACAGGTCAATGTGCTCCATGTCTGTCTGTACAGGTCAATGTTCTCCATGTCTGTACAGGTCAATGTGCTCCATGTCTGTACAGGTCAATGTGCTCCATGTCTGTATAGGTCAATGTGCTCCATGTCTGTAAAGGTCAATGTGCTCCATGTCTGTACAGGTCAATGTGCTCCATGTCTGGACATGTCAATGTGCTCCATGTCTGTACAGGTCAATGTGCTCCATGTCTGTACAGGTCAATGTGCTCCATGTCTGTACAGGTCAATGTGCTCCATGTCTGTACAGGTCAATGTGCTCCATGTCTGTACAGGTCAATGTGCTCCATGTCTGTACAGGTCAATGTGCTCCATGTCTGTACAGGTCAATGTGCTCCATGTCTGTACAGGTCAATGTGCTCCATGTCTGTACAGGTCAATGTGCTCCATGTCTGTACAGGTCAATGTGCTCCATGTCTGTACAGGTCAATGTGCTGCATGTCTGTACAGGTCAATGTGCTCCATGTCTGTACAGGTCAATGTGCTCCATGTCTGTACAGGTCAATGTGCTCCATGTCTGTCTGTACAGGTCAATGTGCTCCATGTCTGTACAGGTCAATGTGCTCCATGTCTGTACAGGTCAATGTGCTCCATGTCTGTATAGGTCAATGTGCTCCATGTCTGTACAGGTCAATGTGCTCCATGTCTGTACAGGTCAATGTGCTCCATGTCTGGACAGGTCAATGTGCTCCATGTCTGGACAGGTCAATGTGCTCCATGTCTGTCTGTACAGGTCAATGTGCTCCATGTCTGTACAGGTCAATGTGCTCCATGTCTGTACAGGTCAATGTGCTCCATGTCTGTACAGGTCAATGTGCTCCATGTCTGAACAGGTCAATGTGCTCCATGTCTGGACATGTCAATGTGCTCCATGTCTGTACAGGTCAATGTGCTCCATGTCTGTACATGTCAATGTGCTCCATGTCTGTACAGGTCAATGTGCTCCATGTCTGTCTGTACAGGTCAATGTGCTCCATGTCTGTCTGTACATGTCAATGTGCTCCATGTCTGTACAGGTCAATGTGCTCCATGTCTGTACATGTCAATGTGCTCCATGTCTGTACAGGTCAATGTGCTGCATGTCTGTACAGGTCAATGTGCTCCATGTCTGTACAGGTCAATGTGCTCCATGTCTGTACAGGTCAATGTGCTCCATGTCTGTCTGTACAGGTCAATGTGCTCCATGTCTGTACAGGTCAATGTGCTGCATGTCTGTCTGTACAGGTCAATGTGCTCCATGTCTGTACAGGTCAATGTGCTCCATGTCTGTACAGGTCAATGTGCTCCATGTCTGTCTGTACAGGTCAATGTGCTCCATATCTGTACAGGTCAACGTGCTCCATGTGGTACCGCCCCTGCTCGTCTTCCTGTGTAAACAGCCTCTGGTGGAGAGGTTTGATTTGAGCTCCCTCCGCAGGCTGTTGTGTGGGGCGGCGCCGCTGGGTGAAGCCCTAACGCTGGAGTTTACACGGAGGTTTGACAACAAGATCCAGGTGCTACAGGGTATGTGGTCATTTTATCACAGGTGCTACAGGGTATTTGGTCATTTTATCACAGGTGCTACAGGGTATGTGGTCATTTTGTCACAGGTGCTACAGGGTATGTGGTCATTTTGTCACAGGTGCTACAGGGTATGTGGTCATTTTATCACAGGTGCTACAGGGTATGTGGTCATTTTGTCACAGGTGCTACAGGGTATGTGGTCATTTTGTCACAGGTGCTACAGGGTATGTGGTCATTTTATCACAGGTGCTACAGGGTATGTGGTCATTTTGTCACAGGTGCTACAGGGTATGTGGTCATTTTGTCACAGGTGCCACAGGGTATGTGGTCATTTTATCTTAGGTGCTATAGGGTCTGTGTCCCTCGGTCAATTTGCCAGTCTAACTATGGCTTACTATAGACCAAGAGGCGTAGCGAGGGGGCGGGGGCGGGGGGGGGGCATATATCCCCGGGCTCCGACCTTAGGGGGCGCCAAAATCGGTTGGAAAAACAAATAGAAAGTTTGAGGGGGGTGCAAATCAAAAGTTTGTCCCCGGGCACCGGGAAGGGTCGCTACGCCTCTGTATAGACCTTTCCTACCGGAACTGGTCCAAAACACACAGTTCAACGAGACTGTTTAATCACATATAAATTTACCAAAACTATTTATCTACACACAATTGAACCATACAAGGTTTAACCAGCCACTGTTTATCTACACACAATTGAACCATACAAGGTTTAACCAGCCACTGTTTATCTACACACAATTGAACCATACAAGGTTTAACCAGCCACTGTTTATCTACACACAATTGAACCATACAAGGTTTAACCAGCCACTGTTTATCTACACACAATTGAACCATACAAGGTTTAACCAGCCACTGTTTATCTACACACAATTGAACCATACAAGGTTTAACCAGCCACTGTTTATCTACACACAATTGAACCATACAAGGTTTAACCAGCCACTGTTTATCTACACACAATTGAACCATACAAGGTTTAACCAGCCACTGTTTATCTACACACAATTGAACCATACAAGGTTTAACCAGCCACTGTTTATCTACACACAATTGAACCATACAAGGTTTAACCAGCCACTGTTTATCTACACACAATTGAACCATACAAGGTTTAACCAGCCACTGTTTATCTACACACAATTGAACCATACAAGGTTTAACCAGCCACTGTTTATCTACACACAATTGAACCATACAAGGTTTAACCAGCCACTGTTTATCTACACACAATTGAACCATACAAGGTTTAACCAGCCACTGTTTATCTACACACAATTGAACCATACAAGGTTTAACCAGCCACTGTTTATCTACACACAATTGAACCATACAAGGTTTAACCAGCCACTGTTTATCTACACACAATTGAACCATACAAGGTTTAACCAGCCACTGTTTATCTACACACAATTGAACCATACAAGGTTTAACCAGCCACTGTTTATCTACACACAATTGAACCATACAAGGTTTAACCAGCCACTATTTATCTACACACAATTGAACCATACAAGGTTTAACCAGCCACTGTTTACCTACACACAATTGAACCATACAAGGTTTAACCAGCCACTGTTTATCTACACACAATTGAACCATACAAGGTTTAACCAGCCACTATTTATCTACACACAATTGAACCATACAAGGTTTAACCAGCCACTATTTATCTACACACAATTGAACCATACAAGGTTTAACCAGCCACTGTTTATCTACACACAATTGAACCATACAAGGTTTAACCAGCCACTGTTTATCTACACACAATTGAACCATACAAGGTTTAACCAGCCACTATTTATCTACACACAATTGAACCATACAAGGTTTAACCAGCCACTATTTATCTACACACAATTGAACCATACAAGGTTTAACCAGCCACTGTTTATCTACACACAATTGAACCATACAAGGTTTAACCAGCCACTGTTTATCTACACACAATTGAACCATACAAGGTTTAACCAGCCACTATTTATCTACACACAATTGAACCATACAAGGTTTAACCAGCCACTGTTTATCTACACACAATTGAACCATACAAGGTTTAACCAGCCACTGTTTATCTACACACAATTGAACCATACAAGGTTTAACCAGCCACTATTTATCTACACACAATTGAACCATACAAGGTTTAACCAGCCACTGTTTATCTACACACAATTGAACCATACAAGGTTTAACCAGCCACTGTTTATCTACACACAATTGAACCATACAAGGTTTAACCAGCCACTATTTATCTACACACAATTGAACCATACAAGGTTTAACCAGCCACTATTTATCTACACACAATTGAACCATACAAGGTTTAACCAGCCACTGTTTATCTACACACAATTGAACCATACAAGGTTTAACCAGCCACTGTTTATCTACACACAATTGAACCATACAAGGTTTAACCAGCCACTGTTTATCTACACACAATTGAACCATACAAGGTTTAACCAGCCACTGTTTATCTACACACAATTGAACCATACAAGGTTTAACCAGCCACTGTTTATCTACACACAATTGAACCATACAAGGTTTAACCAGCCACTGTTTATCTACACACAATTGAACCATACAAGGTTTAACCAGCCACTATTTATCTACACACAATTGAACCATACAAGGTTTAACCAGCCACTGTTTATCTACACACAATTGAACCATACAAGGTTTAACCAGCCACTATTTATCTACACACAATTGAACCATACAAGGTTTAACCAGCCACTGTTTATCTACACACAATTGAACCATACAAGGTTTAACCAGCCACTGTTTATCTACACACAATTGAACCATACAAGGTTTAACCAGCCACTGTTTATCTACACACAATTGATCCATACAAGGTTTAACCAGCCACTGTTTATCTACACACAATTGAACCATACAAGGTTTAAGCAGCCACTGTTTATCTACACACAATTGAACCATACAAGGTTTAACCAGCCACTGTTTATCTACACACAATTGAACCATACAAGGTTTAACCAGCCACTGTTTATCTACACACAATTGAACCATACAAGGTTTAACCAGCCACTGTTTATCTACACACAATTGAACCATACAAGGTTTAACCAGCCACTGTTTATCTACACACAATTGAACCATACAAGGTTTAACCAGCCACTGTTTATCTACACACAATTGAACCATACAAGGTTTAACCAGCCGTTGTGTTTCAGGCTATGGTATGACTGAGACGGCACCTGTGACCAATCTTGACACGACTAGCACACCAGGTAGCATCGGCAACACCACGGCCAACACTGTAGGCAAGGTGGGTGCACATACATTCAGGTCAGTAGCGTACGCAGGAGGGGAGCAGGAGGAGCATCCGCTCCCCCTACCAGAGCTTCTTCCAGGCATCTCTTCGGAGCCCCCCCCCCCGAAGAAAGTCTACCGCCCCCCCCCCCCCGAACGAAATGGAATTTATGTAGAAAACATACTTTTACAAGTGTCCGCACCCCCCCCCCCCCCCAATATCAAGTGTCCCCCGGAAAAAAAAGTCTGGAAGAAACATTGCCCCCTACGACCATTGTGACGCCTTTTTATGAGATGAATAAAATAAAATTTAAAACAAGTTTCTTAAATAAAATAAACCGGGAGTGATCTCCCCTAAACTTTCTCGAATATTCTTATTTAACTTGGAATATAGACATGATTTTTAATTACTTAAACTTTTAAAAATAGAATAGAATCTCATAGATAAAAGAATTGCGCACCAAGCGAACGCCAAAACAAAATGTGCATAATAGTGCGCAATATTATTAGTACTTTATAAATTTACATGCCTTTTTTGAGAAAACGGAAATAGCGTAAATATGTACTTCCGGTCAACGGCAATTACTCAATCTTTGAAAGAAGGTAGAGAATTAGATCTTTTACTTACATGTGAAATTTCATTTATCTATCTGAAATAGTATTAAAGTTATAGGCTTTTTAAAAATTCAAAGTAGAAAAAGTACCAGTTCCGGTTATCGGAAATCGCTCAAAAGTGGATACGGATCAACGATTTTGATAAAATACTTATATATGAAATTTCATCAACCTAGCTGTAACGGTACTCAAGTTATCGTGTTTACACAGAGACAGACAGAGACACACACACACACACACAAACAGACATACGGACAAGATTGCAAAATTATGTTTTTCCGTATTAGTGAGGTGTAAAACGTCGAGATTTGTAAAAATCTCGATTTTTTTTTTTTTTTTGCACGATTACAAGACTTTCTCTATACTTAGTATAGAGAAAGTCTTCGAGAAAGTAAAAATGGAATAAAATAAAAAGGCAAACAGACCCATCTAAGAGAAACTACGAATTTAAAACGGTCATGTTATGTAGACTAATTATTAACCTTTTTAAATGGCTCTTACTTCTCGGCGCCTAGTTCAGCGCCATGTCAACCACTTTAACCTGTGTACATCTGCTGTTTGCATTATTTCTACTGGATGTGGACCGTCAACCACCTACGGATCTTAATCCACAAGTGTATCCTGTGCTTGAGTTGTCGTACCTTATTATTATACTAAACAATTATTTAAAAAAAAAACAAGAAAATTCAGTAGCTAATTAAAAAATGTAATGATCTGGAGCGAAAGAACAATAACTTTATCAAGACAGTTAACTGCTATTTAAGGTTTTAAATCTAAATTAATTACAATCATTGCTAAGTGAATATTTATATCATCTACGCTTTCACGAAATTTCTTTAAATTTTTAGCATTTAAGATAATAATATACTATCTGTTTGTAAAAATGAATTATAATAAGTTATTATCTATATATATAATTCTCTTCTGGGATCAGTTAGAAAACAAGCTGCAAGCGCGCCTTTGCAGTCCCCTCTCTTCCTTTCTATCACTACCACCCCCACCCCACCCCCACATGATCTGGTGAGCGGTGTTCACTCTGTTTACATTTTACAATCATAGAGACGGGTTTGGTGACGGCTATTAGGGGCAGATAATTTAGTTTGAAACGATTTTAAACTGAGAGGAGGTTACTAAGTGGAGGCTGCTTTCACGTGGGGGGGGGGGGGGGGTTAGTGTTTTTAAGCAAATATTTTCAATGGCAGCATTGGTACTGTCGAATTCACAAATTATAAATTACTGAAAAGTAGAAAAAAAAAAAACTAAATAGCGGCGTATGATACGCAGCGGGTCGGCTCGTATTAAATAATAAAGAAACGACTAATCAAATTAAATTTGAAAATTACAATAACATGCGTAGACTTAACCGATCTATGTTAGGAGAGTAATTATTACCCCTGCTATTGTTCGCTTGTCTTAAATATTTCATTATGTCAAACAATTTTTTTCTAAAGGATTAAAAACAGGTTGTGTTGCGTTTCTAGTTGTCTTTTGACTTTTTGTTTTTGCTTGTGTTGTGTGTATAGTTTGTGTTCAATTTTGTTTTGTTTTGTGTTATAAATTGTTTTGTGTCGCACATTATTTGTAGTTTTTTTTTGTGTGTGCCAAAGTTACTTTTTGAAAGTAATTTACACCGTAGCGAAGAAATGTAATTGTGTGGGTACAGGTAGATACACGTGGTACAGGTAGATACACGTGGTACAGGTAGATACACGTGGTACAGGTAGATACACGTGGTACAGGTAGATACACGTGGTACAGGTAGATACACGTGGTACAGGTAGATACACGTGGTACAGGTAGATACACGTGGTACAGGTAGATACACGTGGTACAGGTAGATACACGTGGTACAGGTAGATACACGTGGTACAGGTAGATACACGTGGTACAGGTAGATACACGTGGTACAGGTAGATACACGTGGTACAGGTAGATACACGTGGTACAGGTAGATACACGTGGTACAGGTAGATACACGTGGTACAGGTAGATACAGATGGGTACAGGTAGAGAGTGGGTACAGGTGTACATACAATTGGTTGACAGATTTTTCTTCATAAAAATCTGGATTAATTATTGCCTTAATTTTTTACAGGTTGCGTTCAATAAAATGATTTTGTTGTCTTAGATTATCTACACGTTGCTTCCAATAAAATGTTGCCATTTTGTTGTCTTAGATTATTGACACGTCGCTTCCAATAAAATGATTTTGTTGTCTTAGATTATTGACACGTTGCTTCCAATAAAATGTTGCCATTTTGTTGTCTTAGATTATTGACACGTCGCTTCCAATAAAATGTTGCCATTTTGTTGTCTTAGATTATTGACACGTTGCATCCAATAAAATGTTGCCATTTTGTTGTCTTAGATTATCGACACGTTGCTTCCAATAAAATGTTGCCATTTTGTTGTCTTAGATTATTGACACGTTGCTTTCAATAAAATGTTGCCATTTTGTTGTCTTAGATTATTGTCACGTTGCTTCCAATAAAATGTTGCCATTTTGTTGCCTTAGATTGTTGACGTAGCCAGCAACCAAGCTCTAGGACCAGGGGAAGTAGGAGAATATTGTGTGAAGGGTCCCCAAGTTATGAAGGGATACTTCAAGAATAAAAAGGCAACAGATGACATGATAGAGCCAGATGGATGGCTACATACAGGTACAACTTTCGCACATTTTCTCGTAGCCATTCAATGGGCAGGGGTCGGCGTGGTCGGATGTTAGAGCCTACGACTGCTAAACCGAAAGTCTCTGGTTCGGATCAGGGACGTCTCCGAGTTCAAGCAGCTTTGTTCGGTACCTGTACTTGTTTAAGGTAGCCATTCAAGCAGCTCTGTTGTATACCTACCTCACGTTAAGAAAGCAAAGGTGACTGATCACACAATTTCCTTGAATGCCGAGGTTATTGAAATGAGTTATTGAACACGAACGGGAAGAGATAATAATGGTGATTGGTAAGTGGACAGACATCTTTATTCAAGCAGCCCTTCACATTATATATTTAAAGACACATGTTCAAGCCAGACATTTAGATGACATATAAAGACATATGTTCGAGTGTATTTAACGACTGCAGAAAGATGAATTGGGGTGAATGTTGTTAATACTTTGTTCCCTGTCCTGTTTGTCCCTGTTCGATTCTCGTGCTGTTAGTTGTGACAGTCCGGTTTATACCTGTTTTCTGTAAAAAAAAATATATAAGGTGTGTGAGAACGTGTGTGATTGCCTCCAGTTTCGTCCATCATCCAAGGTTAGAGTAGAATAGTTCTGTACGGTTAGTTAGCCACTGTATCTTAGTTTTTGTACTAGTCTTCGTATTTTGTGTTAAGAATAGACCGTATTAGTGTAGATACTATATATATTATTACATTATTTTAGTATTAAAGAGCAGTTTGTTTCATTTAGTCTTGTTTTACAACCAGTTTGTGGTTGTTTGTCTTGTATGTTCCGCTACGCACTGGATCAAAAGTAAAGGTGTGTCCATGTGTTCACAACAAATAATTGGGGGCTCGTCCAGGATCTGATCTAGACTTTTTTTAAAGAGAGGTTCCACATCCCGGACGAGCCCCCAAATATTTGCTGCGCTACGCACTGGATCACCCATTATATTTAAAGACACTTAAAGACACCTGTTGAAGGTAGTCGATCACATGACATATCAAAACACCTGTTGAAGGTAGCCATTGACATGAAATACATTAAATCAGTTGTTACACATGCTGACCTGCTGCAGACCTGAATTTGACCAACTACTGTTGATGATAGCTGTGACCTCTAACCAGAAGTTGACCCCCAGATTGACCCCGGAAGTTATTTTCCCCATCAGGTGACATTGGCTACTACAACAAGGACGGGCTGGTCTTTATAAAGGACAGACTGAAGGAGCTTATCAAATACAAGGGCTCACAGGTAAGTTCAATAGAGCACTTTATAAAGGACAGACTGAAGGAGCTTATCGAATACAAGGGCTCACAGGTAAGTTCATTAGCAGCTGAACAGGCCAGCAATTAAATTTACTACCACTAAACCAATCTCATCTCCAACAAGCGACCACAAAACTCAGGTTCCTTATGACCAGCCCCCCCCCCCCCCCAGACACACCCCTGTCTCAATTGATGACCCAAAAGGATTGGGTCTAAGAAGAGGAAGTACAATAGGGTGAAGAGGCTTTATAGGGTTAGGGGTGAAAGTGGGAGATTTGTGTGAAGAGGCTTTATAGGGTAAGGGGGTGAAAGTGAGAGATTTGTGTGAAGAGGCTTTATAGGGAATCTGGGTAATCTAGTGTCATCTTCAAATGTAAAGTTGTCATCAAATGTAAAGTTGTCCTCAAATGTAAAGTTGTCCTCAAATGTAAAGTTGACCTCAAATGTAAAGTTGTCCTCAAATGTAAAGTTGTCCTCAAATGTAAAGTTGTCCTCAAATGTAAATTTGTATTCGAATAAAAATTTATCTTACAGTGTTGTCCTCAAATGTGAAATTATCCTTTAATGTAAATTTGTCCTTAAATATAAAGTTGTCCTCCAATATAAAGTTGTCCTCCAATATAAAGTTGTCCTCAATGTTGTCCTCCAATATAAAGTTGTCCTCAATGTTGTCCTCCAATATAAAGTTGTCCTCCAATGTTGTCCTCCAATGTTGTCCTCCAATATAAAGTTGTCCTCCAATGTTGTCCTCCAATATAAAGTTGTCCTCCAATGTTGTCCTCCAATGTTGTCCTCCAATATAAAGTTGTCCTCCAATGTTGTCCTCCAATGTTGTCCTCCAATATAAAGTTGTCCTCTAATGTTGTCCTCCAATATAAAGTTGTCCTCCAATGTTGTCCTCCAATATAAAGTTGTCCTCCAATCTTGTTCTCCAATATAAAGTTGTCCTCCAATGTTGTCCTCCAATATAAAGTTGTCCTCCAATATAAAGTTGTCCTCCAATATAAATTTGCCCTCCAATATAAAGTTGTCCTCCAATGTTGTCCTCCAATATAAAGTTGTCCTCCAATGTTGTCCTCCAATATAAAGTTGTCCTCCAATGTTGTCCTCCAATATAAAGTTGTCCTCCAATGTTGTCCTCCAATATAAAGTTGTCCTCCAATGTTGTCCTCCAATATAAAGTTGTCCTCCAATGTTGTCCTCCAATATAAAGTTGTCCTCCAATATAAAGTTGTCCTCCAATATAAATTTGCCCTCCAATATAAAGTTGTCCTCCAATGTTGTCCTCCAATGTTGTCCTCCAATATAAAGTTGTCCTCCAATGTTGTCCTCCAATATAAAGTTGTCCTCCAATGTTGTCCTCCAATATAAAGTTGTCCTCCTATGTTGTCCTCCAATATAAAGTTGTCTTCCAATGTTGTCCTCCAATATAAAGTTGCCCCCAATGTTGTCCTCCAATATAAAGTTGTCCTCCAATGTTGTCCTCCAATGTTGTCTTCCAATGTTGTCCTCCAATATAAAGTTGTCCTCCAATATAAAGATGTCCTCCAATATAAAGTTGCCCCCAATTTTGTCCTCCAATATAAAGTTTTCCTCCAATGTTGTCCTAACAGGTGCCGCCAGCAGAGCTTGAAGCCCTGTTACTGGGACACCCTGATGTACAAGACGTGGCTGTCATTGGGGTCCCTGACGACCAGGCTGGGGAGTTGCCAAAGGCGTTTGTCGTCAGGAAACCGGGTTCGAACCTAACTGAGAAGGAGGTGGCTCGTTTTGTTGAAGGTAGGAAACTGTCACACGTTAACCTTCACCTTGACCCGTGTCAGACCTTAACCTTCACCTTGACCCGTGTCAGACCTTAACCCTAACCTTGACCCGTGTCAGACATTAACCCTAACCTTGACCCGTGTCAGACCTTAACCTTCACCTTGACCCGTGTCAGACCTTAACCCTAACCTTGACCCGTGTCAGACATTAACCCTAACCTTGACCCGTGTCAGACCTTAACCTTCACCTTGACCCGTGTCAGACCTTAACCCTAACCTTGACCCGTGTCAGACTTAACCCTAACCTTGACTCGTGTCAGACCTTAACCCTAACCTAGACCCGTGTCAGACCTTAACCCTAACCTTGACCCGTGTCAGACCTTAACCCTAACCTTGACCCGTGTCAGACCTTAACCTCCACATTGACCCGTGTCAGACCTTAACCCTAACCTTGACCCGTGTCAGACCTTAACCCTAACCTTGACCCGTGTCAGACCTTAACCCTAACCTTGACCCGTGTCAGACCTTAACCCTAACCTAGACCATGGTCATACCTTAACCCTAACGTATTTTCAGAGCGCGTGTCCCATACGAAGAAACTACGTGGCGGTGTCCAGTTTGTTGAGGACATCCCCAAGAACCCTAGCGGCAAAATCCTCAGGAGAGTTTTAAGGGAGAAATACTTGTAGCTTCTGTTGCCATGGTTTTATTTAGGGACCAGAATTTGTGACTTACGCCAAGTTAGGTGAGAAATTGGTCAAACAGAATGGAGTATGATGTACCTTGTTAATGCGGTAAATAAACTTGACCACCATTGAATCGGACTGTTGTCGATTTCACACTCTGCATGGCATTTGAAGAGTCGATCCCCGAACTTTATATATCTATATATCTATATGGCGACAGGACATTACCCCTGTTCAGTTACCTCTTCAGTTATATATATATATATATATATATATATATATATATATATATATATATATATATATATATATATATATATATATATATATATATATATATATATATATTATATATATACTAGCCGTCCCGGCCAGGCCCTGCTCTGGCTTCTGTGAAAAACCTTTCTGTTAAAGACCATTACCTGTGTGTTTAGTAATCATCATAAACCCGGCATTGCCCACCCAAACCACAACCACAACCAACCAAAACCAAAACCAAAACAACAAAACGCAAACATAACGCTAAAACAATTACAAATACAAACGAAAACAAAAACCTAACAACAAACCCAACCACAACCACAAAAAATATAATTAGCATGGACTGATAAAGTGCAATGTGCTAGGTAAAACACGGATATTTAAAATACTGCCTCTTATTTATTTTATACACTAAACGTACTGTTTACTAATTATTATTTTTATTCGATAACAGTATAGAAGCCGCTCCTAAATATCCTCTATGCTTACTTCTATCTTTCCGTTTGAGGACAAGCTGGGGGGGGGGGGGGGGGGTATTATAGTCGTTCACTAAATTGAATCAGGCGCGTCCGCCGGCGCCCCGACAGGGCTCGATTTGGTTCCATGGGCTATCCTGTTAGCGCTATGGATACGTTCGTTTTGAACAGTGCGATACGTTATGGATAAGAGAGGTTACTATAGACCTATAGTCCTTAACTAAATCGAATCTGGGCGTCCTCCGGTGCCCCAACAGGATGCTATTTGGCGCCACGGGCTATACTGTGAGCACTATGCGTTTATGTTTGCATTTAAATGTGTAGTTATGTACTGCGTATTGTTTGCATTTAGGTTTGCGTTTGTATTTATGTTTGTATTGTGTTAGTGTTTATGTTTATGTTTGTGTTTGCTTAGGTAATTGCGTTAGTGTTTTCGTTTTTGTTTGTATTTACATTTGTGTTCGTGTTTCCTTTGGTGTTTGCATTTTTTTTGCTTTTATCTTTGTATATGTGTTTCTGTTTGTGTTTGCGTTTGCTTTTGTGTTTGTGTTTGTGTTTGCGTTTGGGTTTTTGTTTTTGTTTGTGTTTGTTTTTGTGTTTTGGTTTTGGTTTCGGTTGCGGTTGGTTGTGGTTAGTGTTTAAAGTTAGAGTTGGGTTTAGGATTATGTGTTCTTTTGTTAAATGTCCATGCTGCGTATATGCTGCTTAATAAACACACAAGCCATGGTTCTTTATATATATGCTAGCGTGCCCGTCCCTGCGCGCTGCCGCGAAGTTAGAAGAAAGTCCGAGGATAGCCCGTGGCAAATCGCACCATGCCGGGGCGCGGTCAGACGCGCCTGACTCAGTTTAGTGAACGACTATAATACTACTTCTTATCCATATTCTATCAAGTTCCTTAAAACGAACGTATGCTGCCGGGATAATCGGGGCGCCAAATTGAACCTTGTTGGGTGCCGGTGAACATGCCTTAATAAATTAAAAAACAACTCCCCAAAGTTTCATGGCGATCGGATGAACAGTGTCAAACCGCAATTGACTTATTTTTATATACCGTATATAAAGAAGAAAAAAATCGCGCCCTGCCGGGGCGCCACCCCTGCAAATTTTTTTTCTCTCAGAAACCTCTCCTGAGTGTTATTATTAACTCCCCAAAGTTTGATGGCGATCCGATGAACGGTGTTAAACCGCAATCGACCTTTATTTTCATATACTGTATATAGAGAAAAATCGCACCCTCCCGGAAAAATTGTACCCTCCCGAGGATCCGCCTTTGCGAAATAAAAAAATACTTTTATACATAACCTTTCCTTGGAGTGTTCTAATCAACGCCCCAAAGTTTGATGGCGATCGGATGAACGGTGTGAAACCGAAATCGACTTTTATTTGTATACACCGTATATAGGAAAAAAAAAACAAATCGCGCCCTCCCGGGGCGCCAACCCTGCGAATTTGAATTTTTTTTTCGCAGAAACCTCCCCAGGACTATTCTCAACATCTTCTCAAAGTTTCACGGCGATGTGATGAGAGATGTACTAATGCATAAAAAACAGACACACACACAGACATACATTGCTTTATATATATATATATATATATATATATATATATATATATATATATATATATATATATATATATATAGATAAACATACCTCCCCCCAAAGAGGGGCTGGCACCCTTGTGAAACTTTGCAACACACCACTACAGAATTTGAAAGATTGTAAACATCAGAAACACATCACAGCAGAAAATGTGCTTTGGTGTGAAATACACTAAAAAGCACTGCTAGTGTAAATTTAAGGAAGTAGATATTAGATGAAAAGAAAAGTAGACACTTGCCTTTATCTTATCATGAAAAATAGACAGGGTATGTCCTCACACGACAGATGAATGTGGAAGCTGCTATTGGATGATCTATCTCTCTAGAACATTTCCACCAGCTAGGTATGGATCTATCTCTCTAGAACACTTCCACCAGCTAGATATAGATCTATCTCTCTAGAACATTTCCACCAGCTAGGTATAGATGTATCTCTCTAGAACATTTCCACCAGCTAGGTATAGATCTATGTCTCTAGAATATTTAGATCTATCTCTCTAGAACATTTCTACCAGCTAGGTATGGATCTATCTCTCTAGAACACTTCCACCAGCTAGATATAGATCTATCTCTCTAAAACATTTCTACCAGCTAGGTATAGATCTATCTCTCTAGAACATTTCCACCAGCTAGGTATAGATCTATCTCTCTAGAACATTTCCACCAGCTAGGTATAGATGTATCTCTCTAGAACATTTCCACCAGCTAGGTATAGATCTATGTCTCTAGAACATTTAGATCTATCTCTTTAGAACATTTCTTCCGACTAGGTATAGATCTATGTCTCTAGAATATTTAGATCTATCTCTCTAGAACATTTCCACCAGCTAGGTATAGATCTATCTCTCTAGAACATTTCCACCAGCTAGGTATAGATCTATCTCTCTAGAACATTTCCACCAGCTAGGTATAGATCTATCTCTCTAGAACATTTCCACCAGCTAGGTATAGATCTATCTCTCTAGAACAGGGGTTCCCAACCTTTTTTTACTCTAGAGCACATTCTAAAATTCTCTCTAGAACATTTCTACCAGCTAGATATAGATCTAATAGATGAAAAAGGGGTTTAACATCTCAAATTTTGAGTAGCCTCACACCTCGGTAGCCTAACACCTGGGTAGCCAAGTAACCTAACACCCCATAAGCCTAACACCCGAGTAGCCTAACACCTGGCTAGCCTAACACCTGAGTAGCCTAACACCTGGCTAGCCTAACACCTGGGTAGCCAAGTAACCTAACACCCGAGTAGCCAAACACCCGAGTAGCCTAACACCCGAGTAGCCTAACACCTAGGATAGTTCCAAGATTGACCACTCCCCCACAGACCTTAGGGATGTAATTACTGGTGCCGGGCTGTCAGGGAATGACGAGGGGCCACCACTAGTGAAACCACCCCTGACAATCTACGTCCTATCTAATATTTGCCCATCAACACGTCTATCTAGGAAAACGTTTCAATCAGGGCAATGAAGGTCAAGGAGAAAAGATAAACTATTTTAGTAGTTTGCGAACTAATTAACATTATTTTTCTAATTCTGTATTGAGCTACAGATTTAAATTTGGAACCTTTGGAAGATCCGACAAAGATATGACACAATATTGGGGACACATTATTAAGATTCGACTTCAGTAAGAAGTGACTTTTTTTTTGTCTGTGTAAGATTTCTTTTGACCTATGAAAACGGAGATACTATAAGATGTGACCCCTATAAAATGTGACCCCGCTTATAAGCTGTGCCTGAGATTTGACCCCCATAAAAATTGACCCCAAAATGTGACCCCCTTAAGATGTGACTCGATAAAAATTGACCCCAAAATGTAACCCCCGTAAGATGTGACCCCCGTAAGATGTGACCCCGTAAGATGTTACCCCCGTAAGATGTGACCCCCGTAAGATGTGACCCCCCGTAAGATGTGACCCCCGTAAGATGTGACCCCCATAAGACGTGACCCCAACACACTGATGTCAACACAAACGGACACGGTAGAGAAAGGAGGTGAGGGCAAAGTCCAGCAAAAATCTGGGCCGAAGTTATCAGAGATTTATCATTGCGTGCCGCGCAGACAACAGGTAGGTTGGTGCCAGCCAACTTTTCACGTCTCCAGTCTGTCAGCAGGTACACTCATTCATTAACCTGATCGTAAGTACGATACGTTTAAATATATCAAAGTAAATACTAAATCTATAAATAAATGAAAGTATTGTTAACGTGGAGCGATTCCTACACATTATACGGATGACGTCATAGCAAGCAGCACGTTCGTAACAAACAGGGCGTAACACGGTGACCTTTGGACTTTAACCCGGGGAACTACTTTCTGTTGACAAGTAATGAAGGTATCTATAGGTTCAAGGTTCAAACTCAAGTACACATACGTAACTGAGTGTCTGTGTACAAACTTTAGTACACATACGTGACTGGTTGAGGTGAGTGCAAACGTTAGTACACATACGTGATTGTTTGTAGTGTGACAATTTTAGTACACATACGTGATTGTTTGTAGTGTGACAATTTTTAGTACACATACGTGATTGTTTGTAGTGTGACAATTTTTAGTACACATACGTGATTGATTGTAGTGTGACAATTTTAGTACACATACGTGATTGATTGTAGTGTGACGATTTTTAGTACACATACGTGATTGATTGTAGTGTGACAATTTTTAGTACACATACGTGATTGATTGTAGTGTGACAATTTTTAGTACACATACGTGATTGTTTTGTAGTGTGACAATTTTTAGTACACATACGTGATTGATTGTAGTGTGACAATTTTTAGTACACATACGTGATTGATTGTAGTGTGACAATTTTTAGTACACATACGTGATTGATTGTAGTGTGACAATTTTTAGTACACATACGTGATTGTTTTGTAGTGTGACAATTTTTAGTACACATACGTGATTGTTTTGTAGTGTGACAATTTTTAGTACACATACGTGATTGTTTTGTAGTGTGACAATTTTTAGTACACATACGTGATTGTTTTGTAGTGTGACAATTTTTAGTACACATACGTGATTGTTTTGTAGTGTGACAATTTTTAGTACACATACGTGATTGTTTTGTAGTGTGACAATTTTTAGTACACATACGTGATTGTTTTGTAGTGTGACAATTTTTAGTACACATACGTGATTGTTTTGTAGTGTGACAATTTTTAGTACACATACGTGATTGTTTTGTAGTGTGACAATTTTTAGTACACATACGTGATTGTTTTGTAGTGTGACAATTTTTAGTACACATACGTGACTGGTTGAGGTGTGTACAAACTATGTTTTTTTGTTCCAGAAAATGCGTCGCTTCGTGTTAGGGCAGGCCCGGCGTCTGGCTACGTCAGACATGGAGGAAGTGACGTTATTGACTAGGACACGTCATCAGCAGCTAGTCCTACGTCACGCGAGCACGTCATCCAGTGTGTCCCCTGACAACATCATCATGAGCGAGCGGCGCGACATCCACATCCCGAGAAACCTGGCCTTCCACCAGTACTTCTACAGCAAGTGTGACGAGTTCAAAGACATCACCGCCTCGGTAAGTCTCGGCTCTCATTGTGTCATGTTGTCAGTGTGTCCTGCTCTCAGTGTGTCCTGTTGTCATTGTGTCATGTTGTCAGTGTGTCCTGCTCTCAGTGTGTCAGTGTGTCCTGTTGTCAGTGTGTCAATGTGTGCTGCTGTCAGTGGGTCCTGCTGCCATTTTTCTTGTCAACAATTTTTGCAGGAAGATTTTCTGACGGGCAGAAAATACACCTTCCTGGATCTGAAGGAGAAGTCTATCAAAGTGGCCAGCGCGCTGACCCGTAAAGGCTACCGTAAAGGTGACGTTGTCCTGGCCTTCACCCCCAACACAATCGACTTCACGGTCCTGATGCTGGCCTGTGCCGCCACCGGCCTTTGGTTTTCTGCCGCCAACCCCGCCTTTACAGCAGGTTAGTCGCTCGTAAGAGTACAATGTGGGTGTAAATAGGTGCTGGTGGTGTAAATAGGTGCTGGTGGTGTAAATAGGTGCTGGTGGTGTAAATAGGTGATGGTGGTGTAAATAAGTGATGGTGGTGTAAATGGTGTAAATATGTGCTGGTTGTGTAAATATGTGCTGGTTGTGTAAATAGGTGCTGTTGGTGTAAATAGGTGCTAGTGGTGTAAATAGGTGATGGTGGTGTAAATAGGTGATGGTTGTGTAAATAGGTGCTGGTTGTGTAAATAGGTGATGGTGGTGTAAATAGGTGCTAGTGGTGTAAATAGGTGCTGTTGGTGTAAATAGGTGCTAGTGGTGTAAATAGGTGATGGTTGTGTAAATAGGTGATGGTTGTGTAAATAGGTGCTGGTTGTGTAAATATGTGATGGTGGTGTAAATAGGTGCTAGTGGTGTAAATAGGTGATGGTTGTGTAAATAAGTGATGGTTGTGTAAATAGGTGATGGTTGTGTAAATAGGTGATGTTTGTGTAAATAGGTGATGGTTGTGTAGATGGTGTAAATAGGTGATGGTTGTGTAAATAGGTGCTGGTGGTGTAAATAGGTGATGGTGGTGTAAATAGGTGATTTTTACCAACCACCACCTTGTCCACTACCATGTCCACTACTATGTCCACTACCATGTCCACCACCATGTCCACTACTATGTCCACTACCATGTCCACCACCATGTCCACTACCATGTCCACTACCATGTCCACTACCATGTCCACCACCATGTCCACTACTATGTCCACTACCATGTCCACCACCATGTCCACTACCATGTCCACTACCATGTCCACTACCATGTCCACCACCATGTCCACTACCATGTCCACCACCATGTCCACTACCATGTCCACTACCATGTCCACTACCATGTCCACCACCATGTCCACTACCATGTCCACTACCATGTCCACTACCATGTCCACCACCATGTCCACTACCATGTCCACTACTATGTCCACTACCATGCCCACCACCATGTCCACTACCATGTCCACCACCATGTCCACTACCATGTCCACCAGCATGTCCACTACCATGTCCACCACCATGTCCACTACCATGTCCACCACCATGTCCACTACCATGTCCACCACCATGTCCACTACCATGTCCACTACCATGTCCACTACCATGTCCACCACCATGTCCACTACCATGTCCACTACCATGTCCACCACCATGTCCACTACCATGTCCACTACCATGTCCACTACCATGTCCACCACCATGTCCACTACCATGTTTACAGAAGAATTAAGCCGCCAGTTGAATGACTGCTCCAGCAAGGCTATCTTCACCATCCCAGCCTTCGCCACCACGGTCAAGGACGCTCTCAACAACAAGCAGTTTCCAAATAAGGTCCAGGTAGGAAACTTTAGTCTAAAACTTGCTGTAGGCAGATTTTGGCCTAGGCTGTTTGAAGCAAAACTACACGCTTATATAGTATAGAGAATGTCCGGTTTTAATCTGTAGGACTTTACAAAAAATGTCCGGTTTTAATCTGTAGGACTTTACATAAAATGTCCGGTTTTAATCAGTAGGACTTTACATTAAATGTCCGGTTTTAATCTGTAGGACTTTACATAAAAATGTCCGGTTTTAATCTGTTGGACTTTACATAAAATGTCCGGTTTTAATCTGTTGGACTTTATAGAGAATGTCCGGTTTTAATCTGTTGGACTTTATAGAGAGTGTCCGGTTTTAATCTGTAGGACTTTACATAAAATGTCCGGTTTTAATCTGTAGGACTTTACATAAAATGTCCGGTTTTAATCTGTAGGACTTGTTTGTGTTCGGAGAATGTCCGGGTTTCCAGCCTTTTCAAAGTTTGATTGATGACGACGGAAAAGCTTTCCCCGATGTGGACATCAACCCAGTGGAGGACGTCTTCACATTGCCCTACTCCAGCGGGACAACAGGCATGCCCAAGGGGGTCATGTTGACCCATTACAACTGTTTGGCCAACTGTTTACAGGTTATGTAAGTCATAAGGTCATCTTGACCCAATACAAATGATTTAAGTCAAAAGATCATATTGAGCCACTCGAACAGTTTGGTCAGGAGATTGACGTGTCTCTTCCATCAGCGAAAGTGTGTCGGTCGGCAAGTCGGACCGCTGCCTGGGTCTGCTGCCCCTCTACCACATCTACGGCATGACGGCCGTCCAGTTTGCTGCTCTACAGACCGGCGCCAGCCTGCAGTTCCTGCCAAAGTTTGAGCCAGAGACTTTCCTCCGGTGTTTACAAGACAAACAGGTGACTCGAATCTCTTCTAGACAAAATAATGGGCTCTAGACAGTGACTCGAATCTCATACAACTTGAAGACAAGGCCAAAATAATGGATTCTAAACACCTCCAGAAATTGTTCTATACAGCTTTAGACTTAGTTCTTCAGACCTCCATTTATTGTTCGATACAGCTTTAGACTGTTCTTCAGACCTCCAGAAATTGTTCTATACAGCTTTAGACTTTGTTCTTCAGACCTCCAGAAATTGTTCTATACAGCTTTAGACTTTGTTCTTCAGACCTCCAGAAATTGTTCTATACAGCTTTAGACTTTGTTCTTCAGACCTCCAGAAATTGTTCTATACAGCTTTAGACTTTGTTCTTCAGACCTCCAGAAATTGTTCTATACAGCTTTAGACTTTGTTCTTCAGACCTCCATTTATTGTTCTATACAGCTTTAGACTTTGTTCTTCAGACCTCCAGAAATTGTTCTATATAGCTTTAGACTTTGTTCTTCAGACCTCCATTTACTGTTCTATACAGCTTTAGACTTTGTTCTTCAGACCTCCAGAAATTGTTATATACAGCTTTAGACTTTGTTCTTCAGACCTCCAGAAATTGTTATATACAGCTTTAGACTTTGCTCTTCAGACCTCCAGAAATTGTTCTATACAGCTTTAGACTTTGCTCTTCAGACCTCCAGAAATTGTTCTATACCCCTCAGACTTTGTTCTAGTTCAGGTTGTGTGTTCCAGATCACCCTGGCGCATCTGGTGCCGCCCCTGATTGTGTTTCTGGCCAAGCACCCTCTAGTGGCCAAGTACGACCTCAGCGCCCTCAAGATGGTCATCAGTGGCGCGGCCCCGCTGGGCGTGGACATCACCCAGCAGTTCCAGCAGAGATTTGAGGGCAAAATTGTTGTCAACCAAGGTCAGCCACACACCCATCATACAACATACACCACGTCATACAACATACACCACGTCATACAATACACACCATGTCATACAACATACACCCATCATACAACATACACCCATCATACAACATACACCCATCCTACAACATACACCATCATACAACATACGCACCATCATACAACATACACCCATCATACAACATACACACCATGTCATACAACATACAGCGCATCCTACAACATACACCCAATTACAACATACACCATTTCATACAACATACACCGTGTCATACAACATACAGCGCGTCATAAAACATACACCGCATCATACAACATTCACCGCATTATACAACATACACCCAATAATACAACATAAAGCCCAACATACAACATACACAGCGTCCTACAACATACACAGCGTCCTACAACATACACCATTTCATACAACATACACCCCTTCATGCAACATACACCACGTCATACAATATACACCATGTCATACAACATACACCACGTCATACAATATACACCATGTCATACAACATACACCCAATCATAGAACATAAAACCCAACATACAACATACACCCAATCATACAACATACACCCCTTCATACAACATACACCACGTCATACAATATACACCATGTCATACAACATACACCCAATCATAGAACATAAAACCCAACATACAACATACACCCAATCATACAACATACACCCCTTCATACAACATACACCACGTCATACAATATACACCATGTCATACAACATACACCACTTCATACAACATACACCCAATCATAGAACATAAAACCCAACATACAACATACACCCCATCCTACAACATACACCCATCATACAACATACACCGCGTCATACATCATACACCCTATGCAGCAACATTCACTCAGCCATACAACATACAGCCGTCATCCAACATTTCTCCCTGACGGGCCTAGGTTATGGCATGACAGAGACGACACCAGTGACCAACGTCGACACCACGGCAACACCAGGGAGCATCGG